ACAAGTTTTACAAAGGGAAAACGCCTATAAGCAGCCAAGTAACATAATGAATTACAGCTTTGGCCATAGAACCTACCAAATAAATGCCCAGAACTGTGACCTAAGGGCCATCTCTAGTAAAGTTTTTTGCCATCACGTTTGTGTTAGAATAGATAGAAAAAATTAAGAGTAAGCCATAACAGAAGTCAATCTAAAAGCACGAAAACCAAAGAGAAGGAAACAAGCAGCATCAGAATACCATTAAGCAGTATAATTTTTTGCACTTCATCAGGTCTAAAAGGATAACTGATCTTCAAAGGTTAATTTACTTACCTAGAAAGTCACAAGTCTGTCTGATAGCATCAGCGGCAGAATCCCTTATGCACTCCAATGTGGCAACGAAAAGCTCAGCAACTGATTCGTTATCCAATTCTAACGTTGTCTCAGTAGTTTGCTCGGTGGCTGAATAAGATGCAAATAACAGTAAAACAGACGAAGAAAAACCATAAAGTACCGTTTCCTTATAGTTTTATCAAGAGGTGCCTGAGAATAATGTCAGACTCCCATGCACAGTAAGGATTTGCAGCATCAGCAATTGTTTTGATAATTCATGTACCTATTTACAACCTCCGACAGGTAAAATGTCGATTTTTCAAGTCATTTTCTAAGCTCGTTTTAGTTTCCGTTTTCAGTGAAACTCTAAATATTCTATGGCAGACTTCATTTTAAAAAATAGGTAATGCAATTCAAAAGATGACCTTGGGATGCCAAAGAAATTTCCCAAATTAATTAGAATAAGTATATAAGTTTGTTAGACTAAAAGCACTCAGCCAAGCTCATGTTTGTTTCACTACTTCACTTAATCAAGGTGATTTACATCTGCTTCTACACGTAATGAAAACAGAATATACAAGTATTTATCATACTTATTTATGAGCTGGAGTTTCTAGAGAACCAAGAATAGGAGAACGACATAGGAGCATAATCAACTTTGCTTGTTACAATGTCTTTGGGAAGGGAGAGACGAAAGAGATTTTGATAGTATTTCAAGCCTTGTAGAGAATGAAATTACATTTTTGCAAATTGTTGAAGATATGGAAAGAATAATCTTTATGATATTTTTCCAATAGTGTAGGATTATTTTCCCTAATAGTTGATTGTATAATTATTGTGCAATCTTTCCTTTTAGAGTTATTTATAGCCCTATAAATATGGTCTTTTACTTTGTAATAGAAACAAGTTTATTATATACAATTTATAATATTCTTCACAATANGGAGTATCGAGTCTTTTATTGAATATATATCACATGGTATCAGAGCAGTTTCGATCCTAAATAAATTAACCTTTAATTTTCCTTGGCTACCAATGTTTTTCTTTTTTATTGGGTTGTTGGAGTAATTGGGTCAATTATAATTTTACTGTAAAATATATGTGAGTTGGGCATTTTCTCCTCTTAAGCTTGTTTAGAGTTTCTTCATCTTTCGGTAATCTGGAATTTGGTCCAGTTTATTTGAAATTTGGTTTAGTATATGTCCAGTTCATTTGGAATTTGGTTTATTATATGTCCAGTTCATTTGAAATTTGGTCTAGTTCATTTGAAATTTGGTTTGGTATATGTCCAGTTCATCTGGAATTTGATTTGTTGTTGGTTCGGTGTATCCGAAATTTGAAATTTGCATCCAATTTATTTGGTATTTGTCGAGCTAAAATTTGAAATTTGCATCCAATGAAATAGAATATGAAATTTTCATCCAAT